TTATAAAGAACATACATTATATTTATATAAGATCGTAGTCAAAGCTATCTAACCTACTGCAAAACATTTGGCGATGCAGTAACTGGTCTTCAAAGAAGTTTGAAATGTCATTAAGGAAACAATGCTTAAACTGTGTACAGTTTGATTTGTTCTGTTTTAGTTACCAAAAAAAAAAAATCAAGATCACGGCACAGATGTTTAATTTTTACTGCTTCACATATTTGCCGCTATGACCATCCGGTCTTAATCATACATTCTGGATATACAGAGTTAAACATTATATGTGATTAGTTTTTTACTATAAAGTAAAAATAACAGCAGCGACATTTCTTGGAAGCGATTCCAGTGGCTAAAGTACACTATCAGCTTGGTTCACGAGAGGGAACATTCTGGATATATGGAGTTGAACATTATTGCTATGTACCAAATTATCCATCAAAATGTTCTCTGATATGAATACTTTGCGGCATTATTATATGATGTCTGTTTTCTAATTACCATTACTCAACATCGCTTTTCCAATAAAATAAATGTATGTTGAGGGACTATCGCTCAACAGTGCATCATCAGAAATTTCATATCATCGCTTTTACTTCAGAGATGTAGGAAGCTTGCTAGGCATGAGATGCTGATGTTATTATAAAGGTTCATTAAAAACACCGTTTGGACATATATCCGATGCATCAACAATGCGAAACATTACAGTAGTGTCAAATGATTAAGAGCTAACTTAAAAAAGTTTAATTAGCCATAATATTCTATTAATCTGACGATTAAATCAAAATAACATGTCTATAAGCAATTGTATTGACTTCCCTTCTTGGTGATGCATCTAAAAAATTTATCAAGTGCCACTTCTGAAGGTTCATATGGTTTATTATACTTCCTATTTCTCCTGAGAGGAGATCCTGAAAACAAAGTGAAAACTGAATTAGGTGGCTTCTCAAGCATGTAGGAGTGGACATCCAAAGATGAATCACAAGTGGTTTTTCCTATTATCCATTACAGAAGATGAAGCATAAACAAGCACAATCCTTTTACCAATTCGGGATGTGTTCTCGAGTCAGAACTACTTGGGATATGTAAGCAGGCTCAAATGGAACAGTGAATAAAGTTAAAGTGCTGATAAATATCTCATAAACATGGATCAGTGTTCGATTTCTTTTTTTTGAAAATTTAAAATTAAAAAATCTTTGGAAACTCTGAAAAAATAAGTTAAAAAATGGAAAACATTTATTATATTCAATAATAATATGTAACTTTTCGAAAGAATGATATCATATATTTTTTTCATTTTTGAATAACCGGTAGAAAATTCTCAGAATTGGAATTTATTTCCCACCCAAACATCTCACCAATTTCTTGCAGCCTTTTTATATGTCTCTAACATAATGCTTGGAGAAGTTACGAATATTATGAAATGGAATTGTTTTGCATTAGAAAAGGATGAGAAATTTTTTTTTCTTCACATAAAATTAATTTTTTGAAAAAGTATTTAACAAAACAAAAAGGAACTAAAAATACAGCTTCTTCCGTAATCGTATCACAGAATAATAGAAAATTCGTCCCATTCTCGATTTCCTATCGAATTTCGGGAACCGAAAACACGACGTGTTTACCAATAAAGAGCCAAGCTTAACCAACACCATATAACCTGCTAGGGGAAGGCTCATTCTCGAGTTGCAAACATTTTGTGATTGCTAATTGCTATGGGGTAGCTGTCAGGGAGGATTTTGCTGTCAGAGGAACAATTGTGGTTTGAAGAGTTGTACTGTAGCGTTTTTTTTGAAGAATGATGTAATCTGAGATTTGGTGTCCTCTAAGTTTCCTTGAGTTTAATCGATTATTTTAAGGTAATGATTTTTTTTAAAGGAATATTCAAGCACGAATGGGATGTTTAACGTTATACTAATTGCTCATTTATTGTTGTATGTTGCGAGGATTATAGAAAGTGGCGATGTTTCGAGATCCGATAATACAACAAGCAGTGAGATCGGTCCGCTTGCATACAAAAGTTGGATTTTATTTTCATTTTTTCATTTTTTTCTGTCTCATCGTCAAATTATGAATTTTCTGGACAAGGAGGGTAAAAAAAAGATTGGTTCGCTGTTCCAACTCTGCTTCATTCCTTCTTTCCGGGGAACATTTGACACTCTGTTCAGGAAGATATTTTTGTGGAGATGTGAAAGAAATGATAAAGAGATGCAGGATAGTTACAGATAGCTAGCTAAAATGAGACATCTGAGAAATTTCTTTTAGCATGGCATTTGAATGATTGAGCTTTCCTGATTGAAATAGACAAGTGGATAGCAATATACATGGACTATTGATTGTTTATATTATTTGAGAGAAAATCTATCCAACCTTCTTTCTTTTCTGCAGTTATATTAACAGAAATGTATTGTGAATATCCAAAGAATGCTTTCCAAGTGCTGATCAATAGGCAGTGTCCTGCTACACATCCATTTTGTGTCATTGATGTGCCATTCGATGTGTTGCTTAATCAGAGGTATAGATGTGCCACAGGTTAGCAGCTATTTTGCATGATTAGTTATGTTTTGTGTTTAAAATGTAGATTCTGTTTATTCTTTGCGTTAAGCAATATTAAAATTAATTGTATTGAGTGCTGTTTTTTACGATTAATTTATTACCGTCGTTTTTTTTCGATTCACTTTAGCAAGTCAATGCTTAGACAAGCAAAAACTGACTTTGTGTGTTAAGTATCTTTCATTAGTTGACACACATTTAAGCGCCACGTCGAACAGATCTCATGGTACATTTGATGAATTCATCACAATTGTTGGCACAAGTAAACAATGACAATGAATTATATGGTGGTCATTCGAATTGTATGTTAACCGCATTTTATTCGCCAGATTGTGCATTTAGCATACGAATGGTGTCCTACCTCTATCAATTGCCACGCATGTATCCTCGATTGCATATTGTTGCCACTGATGCAAGAGACCATAGCAAGTAATTTTTTCATTCAGAATCCAAAGTTTCAGCGATTTATGAATGATAAGCAATTTGATTGATTATAGTTTGTGTAGTACTTCAACAATTCCAGGTTGAATAGTCGGTATGGGATCATTGGGACACCTACCATACTACTATGGGTCGATGGCAGTGTAGTTTCCCGTATGGATGAGGCACCTTTCTCATTGAAAGCATTCAAAGATTATATAGAAAAATGGACTGATCTTGAGTTAGAATATATTGCAGCAATGGAAAACGAAAGTGGTTTGATTGAAAACATACGTAAGTTTTTTGTAATTTTTAATTATATTCAAATCTCATTAAAATAACACACACACACACACACACGGTATATGTATTAAAACTAATCCACATCAGAAGTATTCATGATTGTAACGTTGTCAGTTTCGTTTGTTTTTGAAACAAAATTTCAGAATTTCACAAATCAAGTTTCGATTGGTATCTTTGCATGTCGTGGTGTTCTTTTATGCTAAGCATTGTTTATTTCTTCATGAATTCGAAATACGGACAAGCTTTCTGGGCAACAGTCCAGACAAATTACATTCAACCAAATCAGGCTCAGCGATAATTTTTGTATTGATTTATATATTAATAGTTATTTAAGTCAGCCCGTTGCTGTCATCATTGCGCTGCTTTCAATATTTATAGATTAATGTTCAAATAATATGATTTTATAATGATATGTCTGTAATCCATAATCACGGATACAGATCGTTTTGTCCATGCCTTAAAAACGAAGAATGAACCGTTTCTATTTGACCAGTAAACTTACGTCTTTACATAGTTTTAAATTAATCACTGGATATTCCTAAACATCGTTCAATGTCACACATTATTCTGAGGACAGTTTCATCATGGTACGGAGGGGCTGCAATTTGAACACCAACAGGTAATCCGATAGATCCCTGTAAAATAAACTGTTTGCACTCGAAAGTAGCGTTTTCGTGAAGCAGACTAAATTAGGAAGAGTCTATTTTCAATTTTAATTTCTTGAGAAAACTTAACCTTTTTTTCTTTTGGAGTAAATTTGGAGGGCAGTTAAAAAAGGTAGTTACCTTTGTTGCCTGCTTTGCAGTTTTGTACCATATATCACTTTCCGGATAAACATCGAGTTTCTTCTCATCATCTTCATTCACTTTGGTGATATACACAGTGCCAGCAGGAAAGTCGAGAAGATTAAAAATTCCGCAGTAGGATGTGGTTGAGGCTAACTGTCCAGCGATATGGTGTTCAACTGCGGGCAGTACCTGTAATTATCGTGAATTGCTTAAGCTTACTTGATCTGAGGACATGATTTAGACGTCTTCCATGTTGGTGCTGGAAACATCTAAATACTTGATTAGTTCATCGATAAATCATAAACGCATTTGATAAAATTCGAAGTAACCACAGAAATTTTACTTGTATTGGACAAATAAGTGCATCGATACTCAATTCTCGCATGCGCTTTATGTAAAGTTCTCGATATGCTTCAATATTTTCATAGGTTTGACGCAGTTCTGATGTATTCAAAGATGAAGAACACAAGAACTGGCCAATGCGAGGATATATTGGGGTGAGCAACTTTCCAAGAACTCGCTTCAATATTCCAGGTGTGCGAAGAATACATATCATAATTTCGAAACCTTCAGCTATGAGATCCTAAATAAATGAGTGAAATTTTGGATTTCGTTTCAGCAATGTGGACAAATGGTATGCGTGATTTGTAATTAGAAGCATCAGGTTTGATGTCATTATGGCTCCCACTCACATTTTAGTGGTATGAGAGCATTGAGTGGAAACACAAGTTAACTCGGTGGTACTAGTAAAGTGATTTAACTTTCAAAAAAGAGACACACTTTATTGAAATTATCCAGCAGGTATTTGCCACCGTCAACGAACAGAGCCCCAATAAAATATCTGAAAGCCTCGGGGATGTTCGGTGGTTCAAATTTCACCATTATATGTCCACAGCCTTCAAGTATAGATACTGCATCGTGTACTGCTCGTTGTAAAGCAGGAGTAGGCATGAACCATCCGTCGTTATCATAGTAACCTGTAAATGAAAAAAAGAATAAGTAATATTATTATTTTGATTTAACCATTTATCGCAGTTTCCTTTTTTCGGTATTCAGTATTTTAGCTGTAGAATATGTGCATTACAGGTTATTAGAATAGAGATAGCTAAAGTGATGGTTATTATATGACCATAGTGAACATCTTTGATTTCTTCATATCAATCAGTAAAATTTAGTCGCTATTCTTTCATCGTGCCACAACAAATTTGAGCCCACCTATTCTTAATGGTTCCTTCCGACTGAACTGTTTCTCATCCCAGTCTATTTGTACAGTGTATGGATCATGACGCGAAATCCATTTTCCTGACCAAATAATACGCAGGAAAGTGACCAATTCAGTGGCATGCATTGCCATTGGACCACACGAGACATCGATCAGTGGATGACCGGGTATCGAAGGAAGGATGCCTTGATAGGAAAACCGTAAATGCGATGACTAAAATAATCACAAATGTTAGTTGCAGGTGATTTCATAAAAATTTTTGCAATTGTAACATACATTATAATATCAAGCAGGTAGATCATTTATAAACAGGATGAACTGAAGAATAAAAAAAAGAACAGACCTTTAAACCGGCTATACCACAAAAATGGCATGGATAGCGAATAGATCCACCAACATCACTACCAATACCGATGATGGAACCTCCTAAACTAATTAGTGCAGCTTCACCACCACTTGATCCTCCGCATGTTCTTGTTGATTTGTACGGATTTGTTGTTGTACCATAAATCGGATTTACACATGAAAACGATAACAGACTTTGTGGTACGTTTGTCAACACAAATGGTATAGCACCTAAAATGCAACAATTATTTTTGGCACATCCATTTCTCGTTTTTGTGGTAATAAATAATTTCAAGGATTATTTAATCATAAACTGAACACAATTAAGCTTATTATATCAACGATACTTGATGAAAAATAAAACCAAAATATTTACACTTCTCACGTTTTGATATATACAACAAGGTATTTTCCAGAATGCCGGAAACCTTTTTACATTTGCATTAATAAATTATATGAATTTACCAAGCTCCTTAATTTGCTGGACAAGCATGGAGTCTTCATCAGCTATATTCTTTACATTATGTATAAATCCTTTCGTTTGTGCATAACCTTTTACCTAAGTGAAAAAAGTTCAAGCACTCATTATAAACATGAAAAAAGATGAGGAAATAAGTGATGAAGTTGGATCATGAAATGAGCAATTCCTTTTAACTAAAAAAATTGCCAAATTCAAGATGACTAACTTTGATATTTTCTTTCACACTGATTGGTATACCAAAAAGCGGTGGCTTTTGGTAATTTTTATTTTCTGCTTTTTTATCCAACTCTTCTGCCCATTTTTCGGATTCCTAAAATTCAACAATTCTGGACGATATTGCTCAATCTTCCATTTGCCGAGATGTCATCATTCAAAATAATATTGCATAAACATTTCTATCCAAAAAATGCTTTCCAGCATTCTAATACAACGATTGAAATTCTATCCTTGAAATAGACTAATTGTTTTAGCGACCTTTGAACCCATAAACTTTTTTGTTCCTTTAAATGGTTACCCCTTTTTATGAAAATGTTGAATATCGAAGAGTGTTAAATATGTTTAAAGTATTAAATGTGTTAAAGTAATGCGATCCAACTTACAGTAATGAAAGTTACAATGCAGTTTGTTTTACGATGTGCGTTGATTGCCCTTTCCTGATACGTTCGCAACACTTCCTTCGCTGTACATCTTCCAAGTTGTAAATACTCTGAAAAAAGACCCAAAAAAAAATTGTCGATTAAAACCCCGTTAAAAAGTAACAGTTCATTTATGAATGAAAAAGCCTCTTAATTCGATGAGATAACTATCAGTTTTATTTTGTGAATCATAGATTGCTTACGAATTAATTGGTCAAAATCAAGACTGCCAATCATCTCCTTTCTCTCCGTTGCAATTTCCGCACATTTTGCACTTATTTCCTCGATTACTTTTTGTCTGTGGTGTAAACACTCTCGTACCACTATTGATAACTTTTCTTTTTGCTAAATTTAAACTAAATCAAACTTTCGAATTTCGATTATTCAAACGCATATTTCCTTATCATAAATTGATAAGAAGCTGGTAAAGTGCCAATTCGCTTCTTTTTTTTCTTTCATCTCAAGATTT